AGGGGTGGAATGGGACGGGATTTAAGGTCCCTTCTATCCCAAACCATTCCAGGATTCCATGAGCTCCCACCTGCACACTCTGGGAAGGCAGTACCCCCTGGGCCCTATCAAAACAGGATTAATGATCCCTCTCAGCAGCGTGAGGATCTCTGTGTGTAAACAATTTTTATTCCCAGGCCCACCCATCCATCCCTGGCTGCTGCTGGCAGCGTTTCCCCAGTGCAGCTCAGGGCTCAGCAGTTCCACCTGGCTGCCCAAGGATCCCAGCTGTCCCCTGGCCCCCTGGAAATATCACCCTGGATTTGTTCCCTGGGTATCAATCACTCTGCTGCCTCCTGGGCACTGTGCCTGAGCAGTAAAACCCCACCATAAACTCCCAGCACTACAGGGACAGGATTCCTGCACTGACTGGGGCAGGCTGGGAAATGGAAGGGCCAGATCCTTGAGATGCTGCATTGTCTGGCCAACATCCAGCAGATAAATAAGCTGCTGTTTCATCTCCAGCCAGTGAATCACCTCACTAAAAATAAGTACCATTAATCTCATTAATTGGGAAGATATAGGACCCAATTTGTTAGTATTTATTGATATATATAATATAAATATTATATTTATTGATATATATTTATTATAATATATTTATTGATATATATAATATAAATATAAATATTTACTGATGTATATTAATATATATTCCCCATAGATAATATATATTCCCCATATATAATATATAATATAATATAATATAATATAATATAATATAATATAATATAATATAATATAATATAATATAATATATTAATATATATTGATGTATATTAATATATATTCAGCAGCCTCCAGTGGGGTACAGAGCAGAGCTGGGCACAGCAAAGTGCAGCTGATTAATCAGTACCATTAATCTCATTAATTGGGAATATATAGAACCTAATTGGTAAATATTTATTGATATACATTATGTTTGTTGATATTTATTTATTATAATGTATATTTATTGGTATATATTATATAGATATAAATATTTATTGGTGTATATTAATATATATTCCTCCCTATATATATAACACATATTATATATATATTATCTTAATATATTAATATGTATTTATGTATTAATATATATTAATATATATGTATGTATATTAATATATATTCAGCAGCCTCCAGTGGGGTACAGAGGGGAGCTGGGCACAGCAACGAGCAGCTGATTAATCAGTATGATTAATCTCATTAATTGGGAAGATATAGGACCCAATTGGTAAATATTTATTGACATATATTATATAAATATTATATTATATTTATGGATATTTATTTATTATAATGTGTATTTATTGGTATATATTATATAAATATAAATATTCATTGATGTATATGAATATATATTCCTCCCTATATATAATATATATAATACTTATTATGTATAATATATATTATATTTATATATGTTAATATGTATTTATGTATTAATGCATGTAAATATTTCTTGATATATATTAATATTTATTCCCAGTCCCTGGAGCAGCCTCCAGTGGGGCACAGAGGGGAGCTGGGCACACCAGAGTGCAGCTCTCACCAAGGACTGCTTTGGGTTATTTCATCCCCCAGCAGCTCCAGACTCTCTAAAGCTTCACCAAACATTGTTTTGATCAGGGACAGAACAGCCCACACCACCTCTCCTCCTTTACCCACTAATGAAAAGCATCTCCAGCTAAATTAAATTCTCCCTCACAGCACACCCAGCCCTGAGGGCAATTAAAGAAACATAATGAATCTGCTATTTTTTCCCTTTTTTTTTTTTTAAGGCAATTAATGTGAAGCAGCTACAAAGGTGAACCGCGTATCTTTTAAAATGACTCATGACTCCAAAAATGACTCCAAAATGGCTTTGGGAGGGAGGGCACTGCTGGGTTAGGAGTTCTTGCAGCATTTTCAGGTGCAGCTGCCCATGTGAAGGTGGGGAGGAAGCAGCAGGTGGTCTCTAGGGGACCATAATTGAGCCTTGCTGATGGAAATGTGCACTTGTCACCTCTGCTGAGCTTCTCAATTCCCTCCCTGGCTGCCCTCACATGAATCCTGCCAAGGATGCAGAGAAGGCTGACACAGACAGGGAGGGGACAACAGCTTTGGAGAGATCCCAGGGATCCAGGAGTGGTCAGAGGTTGGAGATAATTCTGAGGAAGGCCAGCAAGATCTAGGGATGAGCTGATAGGATAAATTAAAATAACATTTTTAACTTAGATATATTCGTATTTGTTTCTCTTCGGTGGTGGAAAGGAATGGGTTAAAATTATAAGGGAAGGAAAGTAATTGTAGACTGTCCAGCTCTTAAAACTGTCTAAAACCAAGGCAGCTGTTCACGCACAGCAAAAACCACCTTGAAAGGGACCATCAGAGGATCAGGAGCTGCTTTGTTCATTTGTTTTCCTTCCTCCTGAAGCCTCTTCTGGAGCTCGGCTGGACATGGGGGCGTCACAGCCCACAGCTGTGCCCACCCTTGGGAAATCCAGCATTTGCAAGAAATTATTTTCCCACCCTTGGGGTTTTTTTTTGCACAGCCTGGAGACCTTTCCATGCTGGAAGAGCCTTTCCTGGTGTTAAACCAAGAGTTTTTCCAGGGGCACAGAGCCCTGGGAAGCTCTGTGGTGCTCCTGGTACTGGTTCAGCATGCCAGGGTGGGAGAGGATTCCCAGGAGCAGCTTCACAACACCACAGGTGGCTGCCCAAGGACAGTGGGAAGGAGGAGGATGTGCATTAATCTGTGTCAACTGCTCTTTTTCCTGTGTTCAACAAATCAATAAATTCTGGCTGGAAATAAAATCATTACTTGCCTCCTCTCGTGTTCCAGCTCAGCAAGGAAAGGGATGTGGATTGTTCCAGCTGGATTTATGGAATGGCTGGAGAGGGTTGGCATGGAGCTCAGGGCAAGGTTCTNTTTGCCTTCCTCCTGTGCAGCGGGGCGGGTGGAGGGGAAGGCCCCAGGCCATGGGGAAGAGGCTTTGTGCCTCCCATCGGAATGAAGATGAGGAGGATGAAGCTGCTCTCTCAGCTTTGTGCCTCTTGCAGGAGGGAGGATGAGGAGGATGAAGCTGCTCTCTCAGCTTTGTGCCTTTCCCCTGTGCAGCAGGGCAGGGCAAGGCAGGGCAGGGAGGGGTTTTCTGTCTCTCTCCCCCAGCTGAGGAAGCTCCTGCACTCTCAGGGGGATAAGGGTGGCTTTGGGGTGGATCGTGCTGGGAAAACGATGGAGACAGGAGCAGCAGCTCCATCTCTGTGCAGGCATGGAGCAGAGGAGCCTCTCCTCTCCTGGGATCAGGTTCTGGCATCTCATCACCTTCAGCTCTTTGTGCCCACACAGAGCAAGGGGAGAGATTTCAAATCAGAGCCTTGACAAACTTCAGGAGGAGACCTCAAACTGAAGGAAAATGAGCCCCTAATGAGAGCCCTTAACTGAGGCCCCAGTGCTGATGTCAGGGAGCCCCCACTGCTGCCCCTTCAATTAGCAGAGCCAGCAGCTAATCAGGGTAATGAGCAGCACATGGGGCAGGGCCTATAAGTACCCTGAAGGGCACAGAGGGGCTAAGCCAGGTTTGTGTCCAGTCTGGGCTCTATGGAGCAGCCCCCAAAGCAGGTCTGGGCACTGCCCGAGGGGTGGTCTGTGCTGGGGGCACTCTTAGGGCTGGGTTGGAGGCTCTGACCTTTCTTTTTCTCCCTTTGCAGATGAGGCCACCCACCAGCAGTGATTCCTTCTCCAGCAGGCTCCTGGGGCAGATCCTTCAGCTCAGCTTGGTCAAGTACCCTGTGAGTGATGCTGAGGCTGGGGAGGGGGTGGCTAAAACCTCAACACTGGCAGTTTATGGGGGTTTTCTGCAAGATAATTTAATCTCTTTCAGTTTTTTCATGTTACTAGATGTTAGGAAGGGATTGTTCCCTGTGAGGGTGGGCAGGCCCTGGCACAGGGTGCCCAGAGCAGCTGTGGCTGCCCCTGGATCCTTGGCAGTGCCCAAGGCCAGGTTGGACACGGCTTGGAGCAACCTAGGATAGTGGGAAGTCTCCCTGCCAAGATAAGGTGTGTAATATGTGGTCCTTAAGGTCCTTCCCAGCCCAAACAATTCCATTATTTTCCTTCTGCTTTCCTCCCTATCTCAATTTTTTTCTCCTTGGCCTTGCCTTGCTCCCCTTCAGCTGTTGGTGGCTGCAGCATTCCCATTTCTCTCCCTCTCTGGGCCAGAAGAAATGGGAGAGTTTTGGGAATAAAGTACAACCCATCAGGTTCTGGCTGAAGCTGATCCCAATTTCAGGAGAGAGCACAGTTTAAGGCTTTAACCACCTGGAAGTTCTCCCATGTGCTGATGGACCTCTCTTTGCAGCTGAAGCTCCTTCAGAAAGCCTCTGTGTGGATTGGATTGGTGCTTCCTGTGGAGTCCATCAGGAACAGGCTCTGCCCTCCATCCCAGTCCCCCTCCAGGCCTGGGCTCCTGCGCCTGCTGCTCTCCCTGACCCCCACCAGCATCCAGAACCTTCTGTGCCACCTCCCAACCGACTGGAGCCACAGCAGCATGTCCAAGGGTAAGAGCTGGGGCCTCCTGGAACACTTAGAGGCTTTGTAGGTGGGAAGGACACAGCATGGAATTCCTGCAGGGGAAATGTTTTGCAAAGATAATCAAAACTCCACAACTGTTGTGAAAGTTGAAAAGCTGGCATGTTTATTATAGTGCTGGACGTGTGTGGGAATTGTTCTCTTAAAATGACATGTGTACTTCAAGTCCCTTTTTAGCCCCCCCTCAGATACATATGCATACAATAGGTTCATACATATTCATTTTTATGAATTTTGCATGACATTTGCTGCTAGTTCTTCTTTATCAGAATTCCTAGGTCAGGTTGAGCTGTTCTCACAGCAGTCTCTGTCTCTGTCACCCTCTGTGTCCTCCCCTTATCTCTGTCTGTGACAGCGTTCACAGGGGTCTGAGGATGAGGGAGGAGATGAGGATCTGACTCCTGTTCAAAAGGCTTGATTTATTATTTTATGGTATATATATTACATTATAGCTAACTAAAAAGAAATAGAAGGAAAGGTTTCCTCAGAAGGCTAACTAAGAATAGAAAAGAATGAATAATAAAGGTCTGTGGTTCAGACAGAGTCCAAGCTACCTGGTCTGTGGTTGGCTATTAATTGTAAACATTCAAGATGGCCCAATCACAGACACACCTGATGCATTCCATAGCAGCAGATAACCACTTTTTGCATTTTGTTTCTGAGACCTCAGCTTCTCAGAGGAGAAAAAATCCTAAGAAAAGATTTTCACAAAAAGATGTCTGCGACATCTCTCCTTCAATGAAGCAACTTCTCCGAGCCTAGGTTCTGCAGTCAGGCTAAATAGCTATGTTTTCTAACCACAGACTCAACTCAAAAATGTACATGTCACCTAAATCAAAATGAATTTCTACACTGGAAAATTTCCACTTTGCCTCAAAAAGTGCTGTGTTAGTTCTGGGTGTGATGACTGTGAATCCTTGCAGAGATCCAGGAGGCTCCCATCAACCCAACCAGCAAAGCCAGCAAGAGGAAGAGGGATGATGTGGCTCTGGAGCAGCAGGAGTCCTGGTTTGAGGTGCTGGAGAGGGATTTGCCAGAGGATGACCCTGAAGACTTCTCATATGAGGTGAGATCTTGTGGCTGCTGAGCGATTCCAAGGTGGTTTGGGCTCTCTGTGGGTCTGGGAGTGTTCCTGTGGAGGAGCCTGCTGAGGTTTCGTTCCCTGTTGTGGTGTTTGAGGGTTCCTAGGATGAGGGAAGAGATGAGAATCTTGACTCCATGTTTCAGAAGGTTGATTTATTATTTTATGTTATATATTATATTAAAACTGAACTAAAAGAATAGAAGAGAGGATTTCATCAGAAGACTAGCTAAGAATAGAAAAAGAAGGAATGATAACAAAAGCTTCTGTCTTGGACAGAAAGTCTGAGCCAGCTGACTGTGATTGGCCATTAATTAGAAAAACAACCACATGAGACCAATCAACAGATACACCTGTTGCATTCCACAGCAGCAGATAATCATTGTTTACATTTTGTTCCTGAGGCCTCTGAGCTTCTCAAGAGAAAAAATCCTAAGGAAAGGATTTTTCATAAAAGATGTCTGTGACACCCATCTCCTCTTTGAGATTGCAGGTGTCCGAGGAGCACTTTGACAATCAGCCCAGCACTGTCTGAGAGCTGGGGGTGCCCCTGAGGTTTCCCTTTGGTTGATGTCCCTGCTAGGCAGCATCTCTGTCACCCTTGGGTGTGCCTCTCAGTGCTGGTGTGCCCTTCCCCAGGCTGTTCCTTCCTCAGAGCCCCCTTTGCCTCTTTCCCCCCAGCCCTCAGAGCTGGAGTCAGACAGTGACGAGTACCAGACCCAAAATGACACTGACCTGGAGCTGGAGGAGCAGGGTGAGATCACAGAGCTGGAGCTCCCAGCTGTCCAGGTGAGTGTTCCTGCCCCATTCCTGGGGACAGCACCAATCCTGCCCTGCAGGGATTCACCTCAGGAGGCGGCCTGGGCTTGCTCTGCTCTGAATTCCATGAATCCAGTATGGATTTTGTGCTGTTCTGACCCTGTCCCTGTGCCACACAACCCCCAGGGCTTTGTGTTGCCCCCAGAGGTGGGAGCAGAAGATCCAGATGTGGCCAGCGGTGATGCCCAGGAGCCAGGAGGGGATGGCAGCAGTGAGCAGGAGACTGACACAACCTGTGACACCAGCTCATCCCAGGATGGGGTAAGGACCCTTGGGACAATGCCAGCCTCTGGGTGNGAGAGAAACAATTTCCAAGGGCCTTGAGGAACAGGAAAAGGGGGAATGGCTACCCAGTGACAGAGAGTAGGTTTAGTTTAGATATTAAGAAAATTTCTTCCTTGTGAGGGTGGGCAGGCCCTGGCACAGGGTGCCCAGAGCAGCTGGGGCTGCCCCTGGATCCCTGGCAGTGCCCAGGGCCAGGCTGGACAGGGCTTGGAGCAGCCTGGGACAGTGGAAGGAGTCCCTGCCATGGCAGGGGGGAGGATGAGATGATATTAAAGTCCCTTCCAGCCCAAACCAGTCCGGGATTCTGTGAAGAGCAATAGATGCTCACATTGAAGTTTGAAGCAACCCCAAGGAGGGAGCACAGGCAGGATTTTTCCTGCTCAAAAGAGTCAGGGTTGGATCTCTTGGAGCATCTGAAGGGAAAAGCACCGAGCTGCCTGCACTCCCAGCTGGGGACAGAGGTCCTGCAGCTGAGCCAGGCTGGAGAAGTGGTTTGTGTCTGTGAGCAGGGCTGAGCAGAGAGCAGCTGCTCCCAGGGCTCTGCCCAGCAGGAATGCTGAGCTTTTCCCTGAGCCACGAGCACAGCCCGGCTGCCAGGTGTTTGCAGTGATGGAAAAAGGCAAACAAAGCCATTCAGGGAACAAATGAGGATAAATCCAGGCGCTTTTACCTGCTCACAAACAGCCTGCCAGCTGAGGAGCTGAAATGCAACCCCCTGGAGAAGCTGGAGCATCCAGGCACTGCTGAAGCTGCAGTGCAGGAGGAGGGCAGAGAAGGGGTGTCCGGGGGGTCAGAGGGGTGTAAGGTTGGGCCAGGGAGGTGCACACAGGGGAGCCAGGTGGGAAATTGCATCCACAGGTCCATGGGAATGAAGAATATCCTGGTGTCCATCCCTGTGTGCTCAGGCTGGGCCTCCAGCCTGCAGTAGACTGGGTTACAGCCAGAGCCTGACCTTTGCAGCCCCAATTAGCTGGAAGAGGAGCTGTGCAGCTAATGAGCCCGTGAAGGGATTTATCTCAGCCCCAGGCACCGGCTCTGACTGTAAATTCCTGGCACAGGCAGCAGCTCCCGATCAATCCCAGCAAGGCCGAGTGCTCCCCAGCATGAAAATCACAGGGAAATGGGATTTCTCCATGGGATTTCTCCATCAGATCCCAGGGAAATGGGATTTCTCCATGGGATTTCTCCATGAGATTTCTTTGCTGCTGTTTGGGTGCCTGTGAGACCTCCTCATGCCCAGTGTGGCCAAAAGCCACCTGCAACAGGTGACATTGGTGGCACTGGGGGTTATTGACAGCCAGAAATTGTCACCCCTTGGAGGGGGGTGTGACCTGTGATGGTTAGGGGGAAAAGAAGGGAAGGAATAGATCTTGAATTCTATAGGATTCATTGGGAATTCTGGAGAACAGAGAGGAGAGAACCTGAGGATCCCCTGAGACCAAAGGGAAGAGAGCTGTTGATTTTTCCTGATACAGTTTGCAGGAATGAGGCACTGGGAAACACTCTGGGTACCTGCCCAGTTTAACTGGTTTTCTTGAAATAAACTGGTACCAGAACATTCCAGAAGGGTCACAGGGAGGGAAGGGGGTCTCAGTCTCACAGCTGGGGGCTGGGGGAGCTGCAGAGGAATTAGAACCCAGTCCCCATCCCAGCCCCCCAATTTCAGGAGCTTGGAATTGGTTCCTGCTCTGATTCCCCCTCCTTGCAGCCAGGCGTGGTTGGAGCTGCTCAGAGCGTGGGATGAGGAGGGGATAATTAGCCCTGAGCTTTCCTCTACCTGCAGGAGGCTGGAAGGAAATTCTGAGTCAGACCAAAACAACATTTAGAAAATGTAGCAGGCCCAGGCAGGATGATCAGCGGCTGGTAATGACAATTTATCTTGTCACATCTTGATACCTCCTGTTGTACTGTCCTCCCTGCCTGGTTTGCAGGGAAAGGGCAGCCTGTAAATCTCAGAGGCACTGGGAGATATTGTCCTTCTCACTTCACAGCCTGGAGAGGTGCCTTGAGCTGGAACCTGGCAGGCAGAGGCACAATTCCAGCACAGAGCACCTTTGCTGTGCTGCAGGGAATTTGTTTCCATCCTCATTCAGCCCCAGCTCTGCTCCTGCCAGGGAACAACTCCCACTGCCAGCAATTCCCACTGCAACCATTTTAAACAATCCTAGAAGCCGTGGTTGTCTGCAGGCTGATCACACCCCGAGGAAATTCATCTTGCACCATGGCAGCCTGCAGGAACACAAAATATTCCTTCCCTTGGGAAATCCTGCAAGGGTACCAGAGAACTGGTACAAGGAAATGGTACTGGGAACTGGTACTGGCGCTGGGAACTGGTACTGGTACTGAGAACTGATACTGGGAACTGGTACTGGACCTGATATTGGGAACTGGTACTGGGAACTGGTACTGGTGCTGGGAACTGGTACTGGCGCTGGGAACTGGTACTGGGAACTGGTACTGCAAACTGGGAACTGGTCCTGGGAACTGGTACTGGGCACTGGTACTGGTACTGGGAACTGGTACTGGGCACTGGTACTGGTACTGGGAACTGGTACTGGTGCTGGGCACTGGTACTGGTACTGGGAACTGGTACTGGGTGCGGGTACTGGGTACTGAGAACTGGTACTGGGGACTGGTATTAGGAACTGGTACTGGTACTGGGAACTGGTACTGGGAACTGGTACTGGGTACTGGGCACTGGTACTGGGAACTGGTACTGAGAACTGGTACTGGGGAACTGGTACTGGAACTGGTACTGGGGAAGTGGTACTAGAAAGTGGTACTGCAACCAGTACTTGTACTGGGAACTGGAACTGAGAACTGGTACTGGGAACTGGAACTGAGAACTGGTACTGGGGAAGTGGTACTGGGAACTGGTACTGAGAACTGGTACTGGGGAACTGGTACTGGGAACTGGTACTTGGTACTGGAACTGAGAACTGGTACTGGGGAACCAGTACTGGAACTGGTACTGGGGAACTGGTACTGGGAACTGGTACTGGGTACTGGAAACTGGTACTGGGCACCGGTACAAGGAACTAGTCCTGAGCACTGGTACGGGGAGCTAGTACTGAGAACTGGTACTGGTACTGGGAATTGATACTGGGAACTGGTAGTGGGAACTGGTACTGGAAACTGGTACTGGGACTAGGAACAAGGATGACCAAAGCCCTGCAATTCACCTGGGAAGCAGAGTGGATTTTTTCCTATTCTGTAGACAAGATAAAGAATATTTTATAAAGTTCCTGGGAGCTCAGGAATGTCCCCAAGAAAGGAATCAACCCCAGGAGTGGCAGCTCCCTGTGCCCAGGTTTAACTGGTAAATCCAGCAGGTTCAGTCAGCTCCAGGGGAGTTGTTTCCATGTTTTCCCCAGGAGATGCTGAGCCAGTCAGACAGAGGCACTGCTCTGCAGCAGCTTGAGCACCAGAGGACAGAGGAGAGAGGGTTACAGGAGCGTGGCTTAATTCTGTCAGCTCAGAGCATGCACTTGTTCAGCTCTCACAGCCCGAGTAACTGATAAGAGCTCATTTATTAATCCCTGGTAACTCAATCTGCTCTCCCAGCCCCAAGTGCTGAGCAGAGACGATGCCCTCAGGAGCTCGAGATCAATTTAAATTTCCAGAGCCTCGGTCCCTGACTCACTCCATAGTGCCAGTGCTCTTCAGAATAAGCAGGGAGTGGATTTTCTGTCACATCCCTGATCCTTCCAGCAGTGCTGGCTGCCACATCCTGCAGTGCTGCAGTCATGGACAGGAGCTGTGCAGGGGGACACGTCTGACCAGCTCCCACCCCCTCCAGCAGCACTGGGATGGATCCTCTGGGTGCTGGTGCTTCCGTGCAGCCCCATCCAGGGCTCTTTGTGCTCATTGCAGGAAAAGCTCCCTTGGAAGTGGCAGCTCCAACAGAGAGAGAGCTGAGGATTGAACCAGACTGGAGGGATGAGGAAAACAAGGCCACTGATGTGGCCCAGGTGACACAGCCACAGAGGGGTGGGAGGCACACTGGGTTAATGACTGCCTAGTTAATGGCCCATGTGCAAATCCTGTGTGCTGCTCCTGCAGGGGCCTCAGCGACTCTCAGCACCCCTGGACTGGCTCCAGCCCTCCCAGTTGCACCTCTCAGGGTTTTTCTGGAGAATCAGAGCCCTGCAAGGGGAGCTGGCAGCAGCCCAGCACTGCTGACACTCTGCTTGAGCAGCCCCCAAACGCTGCTGACCATGAACTCTTTAATTCTGGCACTGCAAGTTCTGCTGCTCAATAAAAGCAAAAAAAAAAAACAAAAAAAAGCCATTTATGAGGGAACAGTCAATAAAGTGAGACTTGCTTATCAGAGCTGGTTAGGAGTGGTTGGAAACTGCACCCTCTGGAATGGTGAGGGGTCACTGTTTCAGTGTCCTGGAGCTGAGGTCCCTCCTGCAAGGCTGGGACAGGGACTCTGACACCCTCAAACACCCCAGGTCATGGCCACAAAGCTGGAAAGTGGATGTGGTCACTCTTCCCTCCTGGGGCTCAGTGTCCCCTGCTCTGCGTTCCAGCAGTGCAGCCCATCAAGAACCTGCTCTCAGCTCAGCAGCTGCTGGGCCTGGGGGGACAACAGGAGAGGGTGCTGGGGCCTCCAAAACACCCTGGTGACAGCTGAGTTCTGCCACAGGGATGAAAAAGGAGAGGATGACAGCTCAGATGAAATGTTTGCACTTTTATTGAGGCTCTGAAGAGTCACAAACCCACAGCCCCTCTGCTCCCCAGCACTGCTGTGCCCTGTGGCAGTGTCCCCTTAGGGAAGGTGACACCCTGATGCTGTCAGCACTCTGAGGCATTGACAGAAGTGTCTCTTCCCCAGGTCTGTAGGGAACCTCAGCTCCTGGGAGCTGCTTTGCAGGATCAGTGGAGAGTGAAATGCCCAGGCTTGAGCTGCCGCAGGTGGCCAAGGTGCCTCCTGAGGATCCTCTGGAACAAATTCCTCCTGGCTGTCGCCA